TAAGGTCATAGTGCAGTTCAAAGCAGATGTTAAACAGCTGTCAGTTTTGCCTGCTGCCTTTCATGCCCAAAGTTTGATCTGAAATCCTCTCATGATGAGAATGAAATTAGTTAAATCTTTATTATTATTGTTTATTCCTTTAAGAGATTATGCATAATCCCATGAGATACTGTAAGATCTGTTGTGTTCACACTCAAAGAATATCATGGGGATGACTTTCAGCTACTACCACACAACATTTTAGCTCGGTCCTAGTAAACTGACTGAGTTAGGACTGTTACTGTTTTGGCTGTTTGCCGTGTCGGCCATCTTCAATTGCAGTTAGAAACTCTAAGAAAGTGAGTGCACACCTTCAGCTCGTTCTCTGTCTGTCCTGTGGTTCATGGGATATTTTGCTGACAGAAGATTAGAGATGAGTCCAACAGTTCCAGTAAAAAATTAGCCTAACATAAGATTAAAGTTCATGCTCAATAATCCAGGTAATAAATCCAACAAAGTTAAGTCAGGTCCTCAAAGAAACCGTCCAGAGGACCTGACTTAACTTTGTTGAACCTTTGTTGTGCTCGTGGGGATGATGCTCAGCTACTACCACTCCAAATTTTTAGCTCCGTCAATATTATTGTCTGATTTTAAACATTTTTTTATTTTTTTTTGGACGAGGTTTGTTGGCTGTAGTAATCTTGAATATACGATAACTCCAAAATGTAATCAGGTAGCTTCTGGAAAACATCCTAAAATAGTCCATCTCATGTGAAATTTCACGAGAAATTTTGCTAACAAACAGAAATACTGTTGATAATTATTGGCAGAGTTCAACAGTAAATCTGTTAATGCTTTCAGTATGGACTAGGGATCAGTCTCAGCTACTACCACACCAAACAGAAGCTCTAAAAATTGAGTTGAAATCATTTTTGTGTTTGATAAAGTTGCTTAGCTGTGGCGGCCATCTTGAATATCACTGACTCTAAAAGATAATCGATCAATGGTTACAATCTGAGCATTTTATTCAGATTTTTTTACTGGAAGATATTTTGCTAACAGTACAACCAAACACACACAGACAAAAGCCTTCTTGTTGCTCCTCCTTATGCAGCAGGTGCAGACTATTATAAGTCTATTATCAGTCTATTATCAGTCTATTATCAGTCTATTATCAGTCTATTATCAGTATTTTATCAGTCTATTATCAGTCTATTATCAGTCTATTATCAGTCTTTTATCAGTCTATTATCAGTCTATTATCAGTCTATTATCAGTCTTTTATCAGTCTATTATCAGTCTATTATCAGTCTTTTATCAGTCTATTATCAGTCTATTATCAGTCTTATCAGTTGTTTTGAACGTCCAGAGGACAAGATTTAACTTTTTTAGATTTTTCTACCTGGATTATTGATCATGCATCAGGATTTATCAGTCTGATTTCAGATTAGTCAATTTTAATTGTAAATTAATGTTTTACTGAAGACGCCTGCATTCCCACTTTTTCCATAAAAACTCACAACTCTCTCTTCTTCTTCTTCTTCTTCTTCTGTCTTACGTCCAAAGTTTCTCAAACACACACATGTTGGGAGGCTTTTCAACACCTGCAGCTTTCTTCCAAAGTTTTTCAAATTAAGTCCGAGCTCAACGAGTCCAAAAGAGTCGGCGTGATAGAGATTTGAGGTGTTTTGATCCCTCTGCTGCCAACACTGACCTCTGGCTGGTGCTTCCTCCTGGAGGAAACCTCATGCGCCCCTCGGTGTTCATGAAGTTCCCGGGTCAGTGTCATATTGACCGTGTCTCTCAGCTAAAGATCTGTCATTAACCCATAGCGCTCGGACGTTTTGAATTAAAGAGCAGCCGCAAGAAAAGCTCAAGCCCAAGTTGATCCACGTTGAGTCTGGGAGAAGACATTTTTAAAAGGCTGAAGGGCTCATAACAGTTGGATTATCTTTCTCTAAAAACACTTCTTTTCACTCCAGCCCTGAGAAGTTAAAGGGAAAGTTTGGTCATTTTTCAATTTATGTTCTGTAAAATTGATCATCAGCGCCGTATCAGCGGGGACAAGAGTCATGAAGCACAAATAAAATGCAAAAATCTCCCCCAAGCGAAGCTAAAAACGCAAAGGGGCCGCTGGTGTGGGATTCCATTGTTGCAGCTCCTAGTGTCAGGGCAGAGCCACGTTAGCCACGTTAGCCTCTAGCTGTTCCTGATCCTGGTGATGAGCCTTACAAGGACCTTTGGATCGTTCCCTCGACGCTGGAATGTTGCGATACCTTCGGTAAAACGAGTTTGACTCTGAAAACTTGATCATTTGATTGTAGCTTGCCTGTAACTCCTTGTGTCCTTCAGTCCTGACTTCATGGCTCGCTATGGTGGAACCATCTCTCCCAGTATCTGTGAAGCTGAATCCTCCAGTGAAAACATCTCAGGAAGATCCAGCTGTTGGACATCACAGTGAACCGGTATGAGAGTTTCCTCCTGCAACTCTCCATCATTACCGTCTTCATCTCACGCTCCTCCACCATCTGGAATCCTTCGCCCTCTTCTCCAGGACTGCTGAACAAAACAGATCTACTAAACCAGTAACCACACAGACTCAACCATTACCTGTTCCTTTCCAGATCCCTCCTGAGTCCCTGGTCATGTTGTAAATAAATATCACTCAATGTGTTGAGTCCCTGTTGGTCCAAACTAGTCTAGGACTTAAAATTGTAACAATCATGTTAGCTGGAAATAGCTAAAACTAACGAGCTAAAAGCTAAAAGTAAAACAAAAAAATTAAATACAGAGCAAGTATGTTGAAGTGGACTTCAAAGAGAACTAGAGAAATTGCATTGCCTGCGAAAATGCAGTGTGAATGCTTATTGCTGAAGAACTTGCTGAAAACAGCTGAAATTAGATATAAAAAAGAGCTGACAAGTAGCTGAAAAGGCTAATGTACAAGAAGGAAGCAGAAAAAGCTGAAAGGAGTTCATAAAATGTGGAATTATCAGACAAAGATAAAATAAGCGTAAAATAAATATCTATGATTTAAATATATTTATATTTAATTTTCCTCTGGGATTAATAAAGTATTTTTGAATTGAATTTGAATTGAAAACGGGTAAGTACTGAGAAGGCAGAAAAAGCTGAAAGGAGCAGAAATAAGTTAATTACATAGCAGAAAATACCATATTACGAAAAACTTGATTTTATCTGAAAAAAGCTGAACTTAGTTAAAAATGCTAAAATGGTAGCTGAAAAAGTAGAAAAAGCTTAAAGTAGGTGAAGAAAGCAGAAAGAACACGTTTGCCCAATTAGGCTGAAAGAAGCAGAAATTATCTGAAAAAAGCAGAAATTGTAAGGGAAAAAAAACTGCTGAAAAGTAGCTAAAAAGCAGAAAGAAGTTTAATTTAGTAGAAGGAAGTGGATAGAGCACATTTCTGCTTCTTTCAGTTTAACTGGTTATTTTGACTAATTAAGCTGAAAGAAGCTAAAATAAACACAAAATGGAAATTATCTGAGAAAAAAAGCTTAAAATAGAAAAGGGAAAAAACAGCTGAAAAGTAGCTAAAAATGCAGAAAAGAAGCTTAACTACTATAAGGAAGTTGAAAGAGCTGAAATGAGTTCAAAATGTGTAATTAGCTGATTTAGCTCAAATTAACATAAAACAGCTAAATAGTAGCTGAAATAGCAGAAAAAGCTGAAACTAGCAAAAATAAGCTGAAAGGAGCATAAGCTGAAATTAGCAGAAATAAGCACAAAAATGTTATAGTTAGCTGAAAGAATCTGAAAGGAGCACAAAACTGTTTTAAAAAAAACAGCTGAAATTAGCCGAAAGTAGCTGAAAAATGTTTAAATTTGCACAACGAAGCTGAAGCAGAACAAAATGTGAAAGGAGCAGTAAAAGGTTGTAAACAGATGTAAAGATTTGAAGGAGGTAAAATGCGCTCAATTCATTTTCTATGAGAGAAAAAAAAATGGCAGAAAAGGCTAAATATTTCAAAAAGCTAAAGTTGCACCAATACCAAAAGTCATAGCAGGATT